TATATATATATATATATATATATATATAATGAAAATCTAAATTCAATTAAAGCGACAAAGAAATTCACTTGAGTAAAAAATTACTACGGCAGCACAAGTTGGCAATCCGATGTATAAAAAGATAAAACAAAGTAAAAAATAAAACAAATAGAGAAAGGAAAATGTATAGTCCAAACAACAAGCACGTTCAATCAATCACAAACAATGCCGGAGAGCATTTATAACCAGGAACCTAGATAACAAAAAGAATCGATATTCAGGTAGAGGGAGCACTATGAATAGGGATACTAAGTGTTAGGGCTGTAAACGAGTCGAGCCGAGTTGAGCTCAAGCCCTTAACGGGCCAAACCGAGCTCGACTCGTTAAATAAACAAGCCTGAAATCGAGTTCAAACTCGACTCGTTAAAGCCTTGAACTCGAGCCAATCTCAAACTTTAACGAGCCGAACTATAAAAAGTTATATAAAAATTTTATTTTCGAGCCTTACCGAGCCGAGCCAATCTCGGCTCGTTGGCCAATCGAGCTTTAAATGAGCTCGAGCCCGGCTCGTTAAGGCCTCAAACTCGAGCCTTAACGAGCCGAGCTTGAGCCGAGCCGAGCCTATCAGTGATTAAACATTTCTACTTGAAAATTGCTTGAGGATCTTATTCTAAATACCATAGAAGAGGTAGAAGCAAATTGAAAACTTTGTGCACTTTCAACAACAAAGCTTATCTAAGCATCAACCCGTTGGCCAGGATAATTCCATCCGTATAAAAGAATCAACCAAACAACAGTAAACCCTTTTTGCAAGCAGTATGTTTAAGTAGACTCAGACACTAGCAGTCCCAAAATTGAGACACTTGTCAAAGGCATTGTCAACGCGAATTTTCCCAACATATGTCGCATAAGTTGTCGTATAGCTAAATGTACATTACTGATGGGATAAGGATTTATAATAAGGAAACGATCACACAAGACGAGAATTGTACAAACAGAAAAATTAATGTTAAATTACTGAACTCATGTTATGATAAAATTATGAAAGCTTGCAGTCGTATTGTGAGAGTCGGGCGCTTCATGAGAGCGTACGCTTGTTGAAAGATTCTACTGTCAGATTAGCTGTGAATGCAGGAATCGAATTCATCTTCCTGATAAATATATCAATCTGCAAAACACAACAATTAAAAAAAGACAATATGACACGCACACATATATTTAACTAGTAAATATATCTAATGGAAAACTTTGAATCATTAGCACATGTAAACATTAGATATTCAGAGATGACGAGGCAACTGCAAGAGACGTAGAGTACAAACCTGCCGCGATATCTCTGGCTGTGAAGCATACTCATTCATCTGATTAAAAAAAACAAAAGCAAACAGTATTTGATTCAGATTGATATCAAATAAGTACATGTGTCTCTATATGTGGAGCTTGAATAAGAGGTTTTCTTCACTCGGACATTCCAATTTCAAGGTGCAAACTAATCATATTCTGAAAATTGCATCATTTAATATAAGCCACAGATTTTCATGATTGAGGAACTTACCATTAGTTCCTCATATCATATTCAAATCCCTTGTTAGAAAATATATCAGATACGAGTTCTTTCATCTCCCCAAAGATCATTCAAATATAATATAATAAAGAAAAATTAGTACCCACATTTTTTTATAATGAAGAAAAATTAGTACCCACATTTTTTTACATTGATCCAAAACTCTCAAACATTAGCTGCAGTTACTCTTTTGAAGTTCAATATAAACTGGATTCAGCTATGAAAGACTACTGTTTGATACATCATGCATCGATCCAAAGTTGAATGACCAATGAACATATCCCTTAGGCAGCAATTCGGTACAAGATTTTATTTTATTTTTTCAAATTTTGTCTTCCCTGAAAAATAAGATGGAAAAGTGGTAAAAATGTTTTTGAAAAAGGAAGATATATTTGAGATTGTGAAATGATTAACATTTATGTGATGTAAAGATAATAAAATACTTGATTAATAATTAATGTTAGTCATAAATATGTAAGTGAGTGAACAGTGTTTTAAGTTGGAAAATAATAATAATAATAATAATAATAATAATAATAATAATAATAATAATTATAATTATTATTATTAATAATTGTGATAATGCAATTGTAGAGTAAAAAGAGATGAATCTAATGGTATTTTCTGTGAAGATCTTTTTCATCTCCGCTTTCAATGAGATGAATTTTGACTGACCAGCCAAAAGTTTAGTATAGCTACAGGAATAGGATATCATTGTTCTACACTTCAATTTGTTTGCCTGAGCAGCTTACCACAATACTAGTGTTCCCAGATTCATACTCAAATTGAAGCTTTTCATCATCACTCAAGGCATATATAGAATGAAGAGTAAATCGTGTGACGGGGATTCCATCTGGGCGCTGATGGTCATCCATAACAATCTGATGCATATTGAGAACAATACAAGATTATGGAAAACTAAATTAATATTAGAAGTTTAACTGCATAGAATTCGTATCCATACTAAAGCATATGAGTTTGGAGGAAAGAACATTTCGTAACGGAACATTGTGCTTCACTATTTTTCGTTGTTTATAATAAAAATCCACACCCTCACCTCAGGAACTGTGAGTAGTTCAAACATCTGAGAACTTCGTGAAATTGAATTCAGATACTGAACCTCAATGTCAATGTAGTGTGAAAAAGTAAAGAAAAGGCGAGAAAAGGAATAATTGGGTCCTTGTATTGAAAGTTTAAAGCATCCATCACAGAATCTGATTACGGGACACATTTTCCCGAGTCATTAGGGTAAAGGGCGGATTGCAAGAAAAATTCCAAAACTAAAATTGAGAATTAATTGAAAACGAATGAAACGGGAATAATTCAAAACAATTTCACGCGAGGTGCCCCAAGCGCGTATGCCGATCAGGATTTCTCCTGCCTAAGCCAAAGGCTCCTCTATCTTTTTCCCTCCTCTAAGAAACCTATTCTATACTATCAATGAAAATTAGGGTTCTTAAGCAAAAGCCCAGCCCATCACCTTATCCTACCCATAATTAAACAAATTAACTAAAATGTGGAAAACTTAAATATAGATACGTATCCTAAACTCTTCATTTTCGAGAATTCCTAGGCATAATATTTTTTGTTTTATAATTAAATAATTGAATATATCCAACTGATAGAGTGAAGAGTCTAAAAAAGAATAAAACCGGAATATATTTAATTAAATGAAAAAAAAAAAAGGAAAATCATGTCCCAAGCACAATTGCTGAATCAACAACAAAAGATAACTACTTGAATAGCGTCCTAACCCTTTATTAACACCAATGGATATTTTAAGAAAATGGGCCCAGAAGCCTAATTATGAATTAAATGGAATAAATATGATCTCTAACGCATCAAACTAACGCTTGGATTTTTCTCCTAAGCAATTATCGAATGCACCCAAGTTATTACTATCAGAAGCTGCTTCCTAAGCACAACCAATTGGTCAAAATTACAGTTCACTTGCATGCATATCTTCTCCTTGATCAGAGCTAAACAGCAATTTTATTCCTCATAGGCATAACAGTGCAATATCCAGCATCGGAAAGCACAAATGGGGAGTTCATCAAAATTGAAAAATCATGACGATTTTGACAACGCAATGTAATGAAAAAAGACCTTTTTTATTTTTATGTCTAGGGCAGTTGTGCAGTGATAAATGGAGCTGGAAGAGTCAATGTTGACAATTCTTCTGGCATCGTGCAAATAATGGACTAGATCAAAATGGCTCAATTAAATTCTAGTGCTTCTTCTAATAGTGAAGTTTCTAGAAAAAAATATATCAAACGACGCAACGCACCTTGGGTCGCTATGGAAACAGCCTCCTTGTATAATTACAAGGGTAAGGTCTGGGTACAACTGACCCCCAGACCCTAACCTGTTTGGGAATATACTGGGTATGTTGATGTTATGATGTTGATGTTGGCAGTTGTGCAGTGATGGGTTGGTTGATTACCTAATATTCATAACCCAGTTTGACGTTTACACTCTTATTCATATCATAATATTAAATGCATCAGGAGCCAAATCTCGAACCTCTAATTGAGCTCTAAACTCATCAAGTAAGAACTTACGCAGTACGCACGTCATCGTTGTTCTAGAAAGAATGATAAAGGAGATTAAAAGCTCAACCAATACTATTACTGTTTTATCTTTGTTTCTGGCTGGATTGTCAAAATAAAACTACAGGCCATTCCTTGGGAAGCTGATCAAAGTCGCATCTATAATTGGTCTATAATAATGATAGAAACAACAAGACCTGGAAATTTTTCGTAAATAATAATGGCTTTGACCTAAAAAGGAAGAAATATTTAGGAGAAATTATCTGAACCTAACTATGGTGTGCGTAGCCATTCGTTGATTTCTTTTATTTATAAGGTTAACCAGAGTATGCTGCCAAGACACATTAAGGTTACCAGTTATAAATCTGATACTGATAACAACATCAAGGCATGTGATACCTTGTAACCAAATAGTTCGCAGCAGGCCCTCCGGAAAACAGAGATTCTTTCTGCAAAAACTGTCTTGTATCTGTTTTATCAAACATTTCCATGGCCTCAGTTTCAAGCTCAAACAGTTGGAAAAACTAAGAAACTTCACTGAAGTATCATAGCCCACTCACCTCTCCTCACGCTTTTCAAGTGTTGCAATTTGCTCTTTCAACTGCTTAATTTTCCCAGCAATGTAGGAGTCAACATGAGTGCCAGCATCAGCTAACATTGGCAATGTTATCAGAGCGTGTTAAAGAACATCAGAGATAAGGGAATCACCTCTTCTATTACAAAAACTCATCAAATTAAGTGAAAAGAGCAGATAGTTGAACAGTTGTCAGATTACAAAACATATGATTGCTATGTAGCTGTGTAAGCACTACATGTAGAAAAGGAAAGTTAAGGCTAATCCTTATTTACAGTTCTTGGTTATCTTTTTTAGAATTAGGCTGTTTGTGCAAAAGTTTTGAGGATCTTTTATTTCTTTCACCAGACATTTTCTTGCAGGTTGCTGCCATTTCATAACTATATTCTACGATACAATTTGCCAAAACAGACATTTCGGTTTAATACCAATCTAGAATGAGATGAGTGTGCCAAATACATTTTGCAAATCACATTCTATCAGCGTTTCATATCTTAGCATGTTCGCACTACATATGCATAAACAGATCAGGCAAAGATGCCTATAGACATAAACCCGCGACCTCCGAGTCAGTTTCTGTTATCCTTGTAGACAAAATTCTTCAAATCATAATCAGACTAACAGCATATAGTTATTGATGAGAATGCAAGAGGCGCATAAGAAACAATATTGCCATTCCTGCTTATATGACACTGTCTTACTGCAATTCTTACTTACACGACTGTTTCTTAAGTTCCTCAACAGCCTGCAACTGTTCTTTTGTCTTCTGCAACTCATCTTGCAGAGCCTCAATTGTCTGTTTTGTCTCGTTGTCAACTGCTAGGGTGTTAACCATCCGCAGAACTTTCGTGTTAGCAGAAGAAAAATCCCCATGCCCTAGCTGCAAAAGAAGTACATAGATCCATCACTAAAAGAGGGTGAAGGAAATGGAATACAACGAGAACATAAATAAATTAAATGTGGGAAAGATACATATTAGGAAAGGAACGAGTGAAGCCATTCCAACATATGAAGTTAAAGCATCAGAGGTCACACGATACCAAAACTAACCCTTTACAATCGCATAATAAACACACGACGTTTCTTTCTGTATATTAATTATCCATCCATACACATCTGAGAAGCCAACAAAATTAATAATAACAGTGAAAGAATTGACGATGAAATTACTACGAGCTTGTAGCTTATCTAACCCTTTATACGGGGTTGATTTAGGAAATTATGCTCCCTTTCCCCACCAGTCCCCCTATAATGTATTAAACAATTGACGATAAATATTATGGCTATATTTGATCGTGACATTTCACCAGTGACTAATGTTGACTAGCGATGATTCGACCACCCACAATCTCAAAGGTGCCATCATTACTCGCAAGCTTTCTACCAAATTCTTTTTATGGATGTTGGAGTTCTGATATTAGTACAAGGATAAAAATACTATTCCAGTCCAAGCGTCTCCAATTTCTAGTCGACTTTTGATTTAAAACGCCCAATTATTTTATTCTGCCAAGTTGCGTAAATAAACACATCCACATAACTTTTGCAAATAAACTAAAATCAGTATGAACTTGACAAGCAAACAGTGGAATGGCTAGCAAAGACCGTAATAAATATAAGACATAAGTATATTTGTCATGGAACACAAACCTTAGACTCCAACAAAGATATCTCAGAACGAAGGCGATCACCTTCGCGCTCTAACATCTTTACTCGTCTTGCTTCATTTGTTAACGTCTCATTTAGCAACTTAATTTCATTTTGCTGTCGACCATAGGTTTCCGTTTTCTCTACTAAACTGTTCTCCAGTTCTCTGAGATAATTTTCCTTCTTTGCATGAGATGCTTCGAGCTCCTGTTGACAAGAGTGATAAATAAACCAAAAGGAACTCAAAAACCATAAAGAATTACAATTAGAATCAAAATAATAATACCACCTGAATAATAGTTCCACTGACTAAGTCAGTTCCACTGCCAAGGTTCTTGTGTTCTTTTAATTCTTTAACAACATTTTCCAAGTGATCTCTTTCCTCAGTAGTCATACTGAGCTGCATCAACAATGAAGCAGTTCAGACAATTTCATATAAAACAACAAAATTAGCTAAATTTAATAAAATTGTTAGTTGTCTCTTTTGATGCTCTGCTGATAGAATGGATATGCAGGCTAACGGGAATGACATCATTCGGCAAAAAATGCTTGTGGTCCCTTTTGAGTCAGTTTTTGGGGATGAGTTATAGCCAGTCCCATTTATCAATTTCCATCAAGATCATTTGCACCTTCTAGAATCTAAAGTATAATTAGGCTACAGCAGAGGCACAAAAAGTCTGTTAGTTTAATACCAACCTTCAATTCCAGCCTTTTGATTTCAGCTTTATATGACTCTGCCTTCTCTTTCAACATCGTGGCCTCAGTTTCTGCATTTTGTTTACTGAGCACTGCTGAATCAATAGCCACTTGAAGTTCTTTGGCACATGCTTGGGCCTCGCCCGCTCTCATCATACTATCAACCACCTCTCTGGATGAGATGAATAAAAAGAGATCAGAAGCTCCACGTGAAAGGAGTTACAACATCACACAATCCAAAATAAGCTACTCAGCTAACCAGAACAGAATCGAGTTCACACAATCCAAAGTAACATTCGATAATAAGAGTGCCATACTCAACTATATATGTGAGCAAAATTAACTCCATATCATACAGGGGCAACATGAAACAGCCTGCTTCACATGGAAACCTTTAAACACTATAATAATAGGACTTCAAAGACATACTGTATCAAATATGTAAAACTGTCGGGATGAATAAAATCAAAGTATCAGATTCTTAATTATAGAACTTTAGCTGACATAATTATGAAGTAATACGACTAAAATACCTACTTCTGTAAAGCTGCAAATTTGGTAGGTATATCATCTGCAGATGACACACCAGGAATTTCATTAACCACTGATGTCCAGGTAGACAGCTCATCTTCCAATTTTTTCACATTTAACTGGAGATCAGCTAATTTAAATAGATCAAACTCAGCCCGCTCCCTGCGTTTTATTTCTTCATGTAACTTTTCTTTCAACAGCTGAACGTCTTCATGAGCAGCTTTTATTTTTCTTGCTTCACGCACCTCAGACTCCTGGTGATACATATTAATATAGATGCATTATCCATGTTTTACTAAAACAACATGCATGTAAATGACAATCTCAGTCATGACCCACAAGGTAGGCAAATGCAGAATAATGAAAATCTCAGTCATGAACCGGTGCCTGAATGAAGCAGCTTTAACATAGAATAATTAACCAGTTTATGCCAACAATACGATAAATAACCACCCAATTAATCTGCCAATCATTACTGTGGAACCGCAGTTCAAGGATATTGTGGATTGTGAAGTCTTATTACTCCAAAGTTAATAATAGTAGTCATATTTCTCAATAGCATGAAATATCACAACAAATAGTTGACTAATCAAAGGATGTATTTATTGCTCCTCTAACCTATCGAGTATACCAGCATTTTGTCACATGGTTACTTTGAGTTTGATACAAAGCTATATATAATATCTAGGAGTAAATCGCAAAATGCTTACATAACTCTTCAGTTCTTCTCGCAAATGCTTTACCAACAAATTAGCGTCGTTAGAAGGAATTTCCAGAGATTTGGCTGATAACTTTTTCTCTACCTCAAACTTCTCATGCTTGCACTGGAAAAAAGCCAACCACATTATTCGAAGGTAACACCTCCAGAAAATGTAATAAATATATGCATAAAAGAGAAATAAGAGCATGTTTACTGGAACATTGAATACAATAATCATAAAGCGGAACCCATGGACCAACTCCTATTACACAGGATAATGAGAACATGGATGGAAATAGCAATCAATGTATTTACTTTACAACATTGAAACTTAAAAGTAAGAAGGCATACGCAAATCCACTTCTATATTGAATGTCTATACATCATGTAAATTCACAAACTCGGGAAAGGTTATCCTTTATCATTTGTCCAACTTTACACACATTTTTGACAGAACTTGAGAACATGGACATAGTTAAATGAAGTAACTCAAAGGTATTTGCACACAGACAAGAAACCAACAGGGTTTTGCTGTAAGATGATCTAAACAAGAGAGCCCACAAATAATACCAAGAAAATGGCAAAAAGTAAATGAATCTCAGTTACAAGACACTGAAGTATCTGAAGTAAAATTTTTCCAATCTACAATCAGATGGACTGGGATATTTCCCAAAGCTCATAACTAAATGTAAGTGGAATAAAAAGTCAAAGTTCACCTCATCCAGTTGGTTTTTAAGTTTATCCAAATGCTCTTTCAATAAAGCTGACTCTTTTTCTGCATTTTGAGCTCTACATTCCATCTTCTCAAGCTGAAGGTATACAGAATGAGGATATAAGATAAAAACATCACATGGATAGTGTTCTACTAATAGACAAAAATGCAATGTACTGACATCGGCACTTATTCTAGAAATTGAAAGCTTTGATTCACTTTGCATGTGAACAAGCTCATTCTGAAGCGAACTCTTTTCCCTAGCTATGCTTTCTGATAAAGTGCGTAGATTTTCCTCTACATGGCTTGCTTTATCTTCAGCTTTGGCTGCTAATGACTCGGCTTTTTTTCGAAGATCCATCTCATTAAAGAACTTTACCTACAAATGAAAAGGAAGATTTTGGTACATGCCTGACAGAAGAATGAAGAAAGCACAACCAAAAAACACCACACATAAAATGATCTTTACAAATTAGACAATTAGCTAATGAAGTTTAAAGAAAAAACAAAGAAACCCTGGGATAGCTCATAATGATAAAAATTAAAATAAAGAATAAATGAAATGAAAAACACTCCGTAATACGTAGTTTGTGTTCTATTCAAAAGTTAACTTTTAACAAAATGAAGGTGTACCTTTCTCGTCTATTGCGTCGTCATCAAGTTTAAAATCTCAATAAGTTTAGAAAATGATGCTTGAGTTGTGTTTAAATAATTTATTTCATGTTCTTAATTCAAACTAGTATTCGACCTGTGCATTTGCACAAATATATAAATAAAGTATTGTGAGTTATTTGTATGCATATAATGATTAATGATTTTTGCCAAATTTACAATTAAAGGAGCTGAAATATTTTTTTAAATTGCGTTTTTCATATTGGATGTAATGTATATTTTGGTATGTATATTTATTTGTGAATTATGTATTATTTATTTAGGAATTTCAAATATGTTTTTTATTTTCCAAAACAAGTTAATTTAAATGTAACCACGAGAATAACATCTACTCACGTTAAATAGTCAACACGTTATATGGTCAACTGTAAGTAAATAAGAAATTTAAAATGATTTTTGTAATTTTGAAGTTATTAGTGTGTTGATTATTTAATAATTAAGTGAGAGGTTAAATAAATAAAAAATAACGGTTTTTGGAGGGAAAAAATTATATTGCCACATAGGTATAATTTAATAGGTTTTATTAAATGCTTATGAGCCAACAATTATATAGATATAGATTTTGATTTGCTGTGGAGATTTATGCATCTTTTTTATTTTCTGATCATTCTACCCCATTTTCCAGTCCGTCGACTACATTTCATCAAACACAATGTTCAGAGATGGCAATAGAGACTAGGTTTCATTAAATAACTCACAGACTACGAATAAATTGATTATCAATCATACAAAACAGTAGGAAAATACCTCTTCAGATCAAAATCTCAATACTTAGTATTTTGATACAATATATTTATATTTGAGAAATGGCTAAATCCAAACAACTTTAAATGTGTAAGAGACTATTATTGAGCCCAGTTAGTATTTATGAATTCTTTAAAAGAGACTTGGACAAGATGTTATTTATACAAATTATTTTTTATTATTGATAATTAAAATGTATTAATAATAATTATTAATTTAAATTAAAATAATGCGTAGGACAAAAATGTATTATAATTTCTCTTGTATACAAGTCCGTCATCAATCTCTTTAGTATCTTAAAAATATTTTTTTATATAGAACAACTCTTCCAACTCTTCACTATTTCTTAAGTTAGATGGAAATTTTTAATTGAGAGTGTATCCAATAGCACTCAGCAATTTCAGGTCCATGCACACAGTGCATCAAAGTACAGCATATATCATCTGATTCATAAATAAAGCAAATTCAAGAGAAGAGAACACAAAAGACAAACCCAAACACATGGTACCTCTAGATCACAAAAGGATTGCATCTGTTTCTTGAGCTGTTCTTGTGAAAAATCAATCTCCTTGTTCCGTTGCTCTTGCAATGCATGTTCACGTCCTTTAGCAGCAGCTAGTTCTTGCTCAGCATTAAATAGTTTATCTCGTATTTTCTTTCTCTCAGCATCTGCAAAAATAAAGTTTAGAATGTAATACAAATTAGCTTCAAATATGATCTCGTAGATATCATGCAGTGAACTAAATTAACAGATAACTTTATTTTGAAAGGCAGAAATGATAATAAATGGATACAAAGTGGTTCATTGCATTTCCAGTCGGTGTGGGGCACCCATCTATCATTGCATGTATATTATAATTATCTAAGAAGTATAAAAAACTAAGATTTCGGAAAGACCAAGTAAAGAATAAAATAAGATTTCAGAAAGACCAAGTAAAGAATAAAAAATGTCATCATTAACAATTCAGAAGTGGTAAAAATTATAAGAAATATAAATGAACTGCCTTAAGAATTTGGCAGCTTTATGGTGTCCCCAGAAAATTCCTAAATGAACCATCTTAAGTAATTGGCAGTTATGGAGTCCGCACAAAATTCCAAGTACAGGATCTTATTCTCATCTGGTGTACGTTTTTCAAACATGTTACACAATCTCCGGCCTGCCACTCCCAAAAGAGGAAAAGAATAAGAGAAGGAAAGCAACAAAAACGAGTAGAAGAGAAAATGTGTATAATATCACAAAAAAAAAAAAAAAAAAGCATCAAAAGACAATACTGGATATTGGAGGAGCACAAAGTGCAATGACAATAACAGCTGGAGAAGAATATTTGCTTCTCGTAACTGAATAAACTATTTGGACAAGAGGTGATTGAGCGAGCCATACGATGTATACTGATGAATACAAAGACAGAGATCATCTACTCGAAATCTTGATATCACTATGTCATTGAGAGTAGATGGAAAATATAAATATATTGGTATGAAGTTAGCGAAATAATTTCCTTACAAGTTATAATCTTGCTAAGTAATGATTTCCCTTAATCCTGATTTTAGGTATTGCTCGAAGTAGAGGCAAGTTGACAAGAAACAGATTGTGGCACCATCTCAGCAACTCACACACAGAGGCTAACAATAATAAGAAAAATGGCAATTCTCTTTCTCTGTGCTCAACGATAATAGTCAAAAGCCTGTGATTAATCAGAATTATAAAACAAGGAGACAATTAAAAAAAAAAAAAAAAAAAAAAAAAAAA